AGCAACTTTCTCTCAAGCTGCTCAGCCTGTTGAACATCAGACGGCACAATTAAAACGACTGAATGCAAATCATCTTCAGAGAGGGAACTAAGAGAAAAGAGCCTTTCCTCTCAAGAGCTTGTTCACAGCGACATGCCTTGCAGAGCCTCCGGCCCATGAATTCAGTTTAATGATGAAAATCATGAAACAGGGTGTGGAATTAAGAGACTGCATCCTTCTTTCCAAGGTTCTTACCACAACAATTTGCAACAATATCAAATCCATAAGGATATTTTAACATTATATTTCAATTAGTTTCTGGTGTCATTGAGGATTATGTCAACATTCATATTTGGATGTCCATGCACGTCGCTGCTTTGCATCCTCTAACTGAAGCGCTGCAGGTAAAACATGACTAATTAGGATAAGTGCCTGTTGGGATTTTGGTGTTTTATCTCTGGTAATTGTAAATGTTTGACCTTTCTGCCTTCCCAGCAGTTCGGGAGCAAGGTGGAATGCTTCTTGTAGGACTCTGGCTGTAACAGAGTAATTAAAAATGGCCCCTGTTGGCTTTAACCTCATTATTCCAGTCTTTCAGGAATACCTTCAGAAGTTCCTAAGCTCTCCACAGAGGTTCTGCTGTAAAAGCTTCATTTCACGGGGAAGAGTCTGAAAAAATTCTCGAAACCAAGTGACAATTTGTAGCCTAACAGTCCTTCCTATTATGTTCAAGGCTATCTTATACCGCCTTGCTCTCCTTTGAAGCAGTTTGTTTTCTTGCAGACTCACACTATGTGAATGTAAAATTATAACCATGACAATGCATGCAAAAATATGGCCTTGGATTGATATCTTTTTCCTGTGTTTTATTGTTAATATATCACACAAACAACATGCATTTTTCTAGGCCCCATTGTTTTTTACAATGGGAATTCTTGCTATATTAAACAAAAGCTAACATGTTTTGTTGTTAATTTACTAAGAGACCTTGTTTATCTTCCATATCGCTAGAGCCATGAATTTGGAAAATGGGGTATATTATTTGAGATAAAGCCATGGGTCTGGCTGTACCTTGGGTATATTATCCATGTGCCTGAGGTATAGCCATACTCAATGATATCAACAATGTTCTTCCTGATATGTGTGTTGCCAGTTTTATTCGTATTTCTTTATTACATCACACATTTAATTGATTTGTTTCCTTCTGTCCCAGTTTGTCTCCCCTGTATTACTTTGTCTCTGTATGTCCTGATCCTTCTCTGATCAACTGACTGGTTTACAACGTCATATTACTCCTTCTTTCTCTGTTCATGCTAGATGTTCTGTACTCCTCATTCATGCTGTAAGTCTACTTTCAGTACCAGTAAAGTCCAGAAACATACCCTTTGCAAACGTACTTGGAATGTTTCTTGAAAAACAGTCCATCTTCCTTTTGTCTTATCAAGGAGCATTAGCCTGGTACCATTTGCAGTAGGGGTGTAAATCACACCCATCATGGCGATTCGATTCGGTATCAATTTCCTGACCCAACGATTCAATTATTTTCTATGCTCAAGAATACAACATAATATGATTCGATTTGATTAATTGGTTAATTTTATTTTTTTAATCTTACAGGCTAGACAATGTTTCAAATTTGAAATAAATCAATGAAACCTGTAATATCGTTGCATTTTATTTGCAAATAACATAAGAAGCAAAGTTGTACTCCACCTAGGCCTATAAAAACCTCATTCACTGAAAAATAATAATGCCTCTGTGTTATTGATTCTGAAAGGCCTTGGATCAAAAAAATACTGCAAGCAGAAAGAGGGTAGAGGCTAAAAGAAGCGAGGTAGGAGGGCAAAATAGGGCAAAATAGGTTTAGCGCCTCGAGAGTCAGAATTACGTCTAGGAGCAAATGGATAAAAATAGACTGGAGGGAAAAAATAATCGATACTCTTGCGGATGTGTCAATGCATCGGATCATCGCCTGTTGGATCGATGCATCGATACAAAAAGATTATTATTTACACACCTAATTTGCAGTCCAAGAGGGATTTGACAAACTCCCATTTTACATTTGTGATGGTAGGTACAGAGCAGGCAAACAGCTATTTTAATGGCTATTTTTCTGACTGATCAGATGTCTCTTGTCTCCTACATTTTGAATGGCAGAGGGAAATATCCTCGTGCCTCAAGGAACATTAATTTAAATTCCTTAGACAAACTGATCAACTTCAAAAGTATAATTAAAAATACAGAAAATGTTCATGTTTATATAGTATAACTATATCATTTAGTTGTGCCACAGGGTTGATTTTACTGATTTTATTCATTTACTAATGAATAAATGCACTTGGACAAGGAATTACATTTTTTTCAAATTTTTAGTGTGACAATTGGCTTTAAGGTGTTTAAAACCATTAAGTGTGGAAGCTGCATTGATAATGAGGCCCCAGTGATTTATGAATTTTAATGAAGGTAAAACATAGAGTCTCTGCAGCAGCTCAGGACAGCTGGAGATCGATCACCTGTAGCTAATTTTGCTTATGCAGAGAGGACTTGCATTTTCTCCTTCCATCAGGAAGTACAATGTTACTAATTGGTGCATGTTGTTTTCGTGGGTGTCCATGTCATTATCACTGACATTATTAAATCTATTCTCGGACTCTCAGGTAACCAGTATTATGTGTTCAGCAAGCATTGTGGCTTCCTCGTGGGTAATTTTAATGTCAGAGGCTGGAATAATAAAAAGGAAAGTATTTGTGAGCATCTTTGAAGATTTGTATGTGAGAAACATTCCTAATTATTAGCCCATTCTTGTGATGTTTTGTAAATTGAGAGCTGGACTAAAATACAAAGAGGTTTGGATATGGTTAAAAATAAATTAGAAGAGCAGGACATGGAGCATTTGCAACACAACAGAATGAACCAATAATAGCTGATGAAAACCAGTGAAAAAACAACTGTTATATACAGTTTTGTGTAAAAGTTTATGTAAAAGCACATTTGTAAATAAACAAATATATAAGCACTTCTGGCAAGTGTCATGATCTTGGCACTGGTGTCTGGTCTGATTACTCATTTCACTCACCTGCTTACAGTATCTCCGCCCAGTTCTCATTAATGCTCAACTGATCTACCTGTTTCAGTGTCTATTTAACCAGCCCTCAACCAGTCATCAGTGCCAGATTATTTTTGAGCCTGTGGTGATAAGTTCCCTAGCGTTCATGTGTATTTACTGATTGCCTGATTCTGACCCATTTTGCCTTTGAAATTCTGAGCCTGCCAGTTCCCATTCTGATCTGTTTACCTGTCCTGCCAGATCTCTGCCTGGATCCTATTGTTCTGAACTTGACAGTAAGATTAAATCTTTCAGGATTTGCTTATAAATTGTTGACCCAAAAGCAGAGGCTGAGAGGCAGAGGTGAATTTTTTGTGGATTTAATGATTGTTAACTGAAACACAGAGGTAGGTTATCAAAAAATCCAAAATGAAATCAAAGTCCAAACAAACAAGAAACCAGGAGTCCAAAAATCCAAAAATCAAAACGTAAAAATAAGTCAAAACGAACCAGAAACCATGGAGACATCAGGGGGATCACTAACACAAGGAGGAAGGCTCAGAGAGACGAAAAGAAAAACATAACAGAGCCAAGACTGGAACAGTAACTAAGACTTAACCAGGGAACACAACAAAATTAAAGTTAAACCACTAAAACTAGAAAACAAGGAGTAAAGCAAAACTGAACACTCAAAAGAAAACATAACAGAACCAAGACAGAAGGAAAGACAGTAACTGAGAAAAAAACACAATAAACAAATAATTAAACCACAAAACTAGAAAACAAGGAGCAAAGTAAAACTGGATACTCAAAAGAAAACATAAAATAGACACGAGGAGCAAAACAAAACTGAACATCCAAAGAAAAACATAAACAGACCCAGAACTCTAACAAAATCTGCCTCCAGTACTTAGCCAAAATTGCAAGTCATTAAACTGGACGTACATTTCTCTAACAAAACATCACCAGTGGTAAAAGCCTTATACCAACATACGAGACAAAACCAAATTGTAAAAACTGATTCTTTTAAGTAATATCAAATTAAAGCTGCAGTGTGTAATTTTTAGCGACATCTAACATCCAGACTGCAGACCGCAGCAACATGAACATCTCCCCCCCACCGCTTCTCCCCCCCAACAGTATGGCGAGCGTTACGGGACAAAATGTCTTCCACGACGTCTGCATCACCTACCTTCTCAAGTGATGAGGTTTGTTTACATAGATAATTTTACAGATAGTATTCTCAGGCATAATACTGCCATCTATTGTTCAGTACCGTCTCAGTTCATCTCTCTCAACTTGCCGTAGTTACTTTCGAGCGTAATGGGCGATCTCACAATCACTAGTTTGTTGGCTCTGCGCTGCCGTAGCGCAAAGATGTCTGCCTCCATGGCTGCGAGACCCCCTCCTATGTAATTATAAATAACGAATTCTAAGGCAACGCAAATATTAAGGTTAAGAGGCTGAGCTCGTAGATGATGATAAATAACATAGTTATGTATAATATATTAGATTTCTGACTGTATATCCCTTAATTATTACACACTGTAGCTTTAATTAAACACAATGGAATAGATTATATGATAAGACTAAAAAAACTGAATACATCACAACCTTTCTAAAAATAATAAGGAACTCAAAACAAACAAAAATGGAAACCAAAACCAAACAGAGAATTATGACAGTTTTACTCTCAAGGAAATATTAAGATGTGCAAATACAAGAAAAAACAGTTAATCATTGTACAGCTTTTTTCTGTCAAAAGCATTGGTTTGAATATACAGATGTCACAGTCTTGGTTTTGTTATGTTTATTTAGAGCAGGGGTTCTCAACCTTTTGCAAGCTGGGCCCCCCCAAAGCTGGTTCATTGCAGTTGGGGCCCCAGTGCCCCCCGCCCAGATCCCCCATCCCCCCGCCCCGCCCCGCTCTACCTTGCATAGATAGATAGATAGATAGATAGATAGATAGATAGATAGATAGATAGATAGATAGATAGATAGATAGATAGATAGATAGATAGATAGATAGATAGATAGATAGATAGCCCTAGGCTATTATTTTTAGGCCCACATTATTATTATTACCATCATCAGTAGCGGTAGGTAGGCCTATTATCATTTCTAGGCTATTGTTATAATTGGCAGTAGCACCAGACTTCTAATGTGAGCTTGCAGGCATTATTATTGTTATTATTATTATTATTATTATTATTATTATTATTATTATTATTATTATTATTATTATTATTATGAGTAGTATATGCCTATCATTATTACAAGGCTATTGCTATATAATTATGAGGTTACATGCTTTATTGTTGTTGTTATTATTATTATCATCAGTTGGCCTATTATCAATACTAGGCTATTGCTATATAATTAGGTGATGTTAATGTGAGACCTGAGCCTGCTTTGCCTTGCAAAGATCCTCAATTCTTGGCTCAATGTTTGATAAGCATAGCCTCAAATCATCCTCGATTTGTGCACGATTGCGGTGTTTTGTTTTGAGTGCAGTCATTTTTGAGAATCCTGCCTCACACAAATATGTCGACGCGAAAGGAAGGAGAATCTTCAAGGCGACGTCACAGAGTTCCGGGTATTCCTGCATCAATGCTGCCCAGAATGACGAAAGAGGACAGGAGCTAAAGAGTTCCTTCAGTCTACTGTCACTCTTCAGCTCAATAAGCTGTTCCTGCAAATCAATTGATAGCTCGTTTGCTGTGCACACAAACGGATCTCGAACCCATGCAAAAGAGCGATAATCCTCTTTAAAGTACGTCGCAAATTGTTTTCTCATTGCTGACAGGTGCTCAGACGCTGATTGAAATAGGGAGGAGAAATCGTGTGACGCGCCTGCATCAGTTATAAAGTCTGTAAGGCAGGGGAACATGTCACAGTTCCCTCGACTGATGCGGCCATGCCAGAGGTCTAGTTTTTGTGTGAAGGCCTGCACTTTGTCTGCAAGGAGCAAAATATGAGTTTCGCGGCCTTGCAAAGACAGGTTGAGGCCATTCAAGCGGTCAAATATATCGACCAAATAGGACAGAGACGCAAGCCACATAGTGTCATCCAGATGCTTCGCCAGATCTGATTTAATTTCTGTCAAAAACCACTTCACCTCCTCTCGCAGCTCATACAACCGCTGTAACACCCGCCCCCTGGAGAGCCAGCGAACTTCAGTGTGCAGAAGCAGCTGTTCGTGCCCTGACCCCATCTCCTGGCAGAGGACCCCAAACAAGCGAGAGTTTAGCGGCCGTGATTTTATGAGATTTATTATTTTGACGGATTGGTTCAGCACAGAGTCAAAGAGAACCGGCATTTTTTTAGCAGCTAGTGCTTCGCGATGGACCATGCAGTGTGTCCATTTCACAAGTGGAGCTACTTGCTGAACGCGAGCAGCTAGGCCACGCTCATGCCCCGTCATTGCCTGCGCACCATCCGTGCATAGGCCAACGCATCGGTCCCAAGCCAAACCATTTTCGCGGATAAAAATGTCAAGGACATTGAAAATGGCTTCTCCTGTAGTGTGTGACTGAAGAGGCCGGCAAAACAGGACATCCTCCTCAATCACCTTGTCCCGCAGATACCTGACATAGGTGAGGAGCTGTGCCTGCCCAGCAACATCAGTGGATTCGTCCAGCTGCAGCGCGTAGTAAGGACTCTTTTTTACAAACTCAGTTGCTCTCTGATATCGTTGGACATGTCTACAATTCTCCTAGCGACTGTGTCATTGGACAGTGGTACTGCACCGAGTTTGGCTGCTGCACTATCGCCTATCATTATTCTGCACATGTCTTGCGCTGCCGGCAAAATGAGAGTCTCTGCGATTGTATGCGGTTTACCCAGTTTACCGATCCTTTTGGCCACTACATATGATGCCTCCAAACACTGTTTAGACACAGTGCTGTGCACTGAAATGGTTGCCTGTTGCTGATGGAGGCCATCAAGCTTTCTTTTAAAATATTCGACCGGTTTATTTTTAATGCCAGCATGCTTTGTTTCGAGGTGTCTTTTTAATTTGCAGGGCTTCATACTGTCATTTGCCAGCACCTCGGCACATACGACACACTGAGGTCTCAGTTCAGCCGTGACTGTAAACCCAAACTGCAGGTATGCTTCATCGTACTTGCGAAGCTTTTTTGCAGCTGGTGGTGCGTTGGTTGGCTTGTTGGTCCTCACAAGAAATTTCTCCATTTTAATTTGTTTTCAATAAAGTTTAAACTATGGCAATATGTAACTATGTGTGGTGTATGTTGAGAGACGTATCAGGGGCTAATCAGTCAGGACTTAGGCACAATCTTTCATTAAAACCAAACAAAATAATTATTTTGCAGACAATTCAGATTTTATTTTAATTCTTAACGATTGTAGTCCTCGTGTGTGTGTGTGTGTGTGTGTGTGTGTGTGTGTGTGTGTGTGTGTGTGTGTGTGTGTGTGTATCGTTTGGGTAGTTAGCTAAGTAACTACTGCCTAGCAGTTTAACAAAATTACTGGCTAGGGCTGAGATATGATCTAATCTTAAAGAATGTTTCTGGGTTTAGTCTTTAAAAAGACTGTTGGGGTTTGTGTAGTAAAGGCCTATGTAAATCGAGATTGATAACAGACTAGCGAGAGCTGGCACAAGCGAACTTGGCAAGAGACTAGACTAGAGTGAATGGAGAGCTATGTCGTGAGTCAATTTAAATGCAGTGATTTATTTTTGTGAGAGTGAGTGAACATTTACACCCCGCTCTGTAAGTCAAGGCGGGAACGGCGGCGACCATGCGCATGCGCGATTCATTTGCAGCCTGGACACAGAGGGGTGTGTGTCTCCTTTCTGCTGCAGGCTGGGACTGCTGCGCGAGGTTACTGAGAGACTGACCGCCTGTGAGTGCCTTTGGACGGGAGAGGGGCTCATGGCAGCACCCGCTGCTCGTTGAGCACAGTATGCCTAACTGCAGAGTGATTCGTGCTTTCGAGTCTCCAAACACCACAAAAGTCTCCAAAAACACCAGTAAAAGTCGCGGGATATTTTGACAAAAAATAATTTGTATACAATGTCGCTTAGTTCACTCAAGGCAACAGAAATGTCCGCCCGAGGATGAGTGTAAACTCCACACAGGAACATCACCGAAAACTCCCATGGGAGAAAAAAGGGGCGGCATTTCAAAATAAGACATTCCAAGTTGACGTTGCAAGTTTTGTTCACGATGACACAATCAGTGCACCAAAGTTCGTTAATTAAAAAACACTCACCTCCACCCTTCGATTTTCCGGTACGCTCCTTCACCCTGTCCGAGCGATGGACAGAGAAGCCCGGCGGCTGGAAAGAAGAATCCAGCACGCCGCTGGAAGCCTGTAGCGTCCCCACTCAGGGGCTCAGCTGTACGGCGTATGTGGCGATACCTCCGCCCAGTCCTTTCGCTCTGCTCCCGACTTCCGCGGCCCGACTCCTGGCCTTGTTTACCTCGAGTGGGGCACGCATCGAAATCAGCACACCTCAGTCCAGTATTGGCAAAAGACAGACCACAAACTTCCTCACGGATCCTCAGAAGTGTCTCACGGCCATAATTTAAAGTGGTAAATACATCAAAGACAAAAACAAACATAAAACAGCCAGCACACAGGAGAGCTCTTGCTACGGCGCCCTGTCTCGGCGCCATGATCAACCACCCGCTTATCACCGCATTTGCGCTCACTATCGACAAAACAATCAAATTTGTTCAAAACTTTTTTTTTTTAATCAGTCCAAACACATTTTAATTTTTATTCAGGAGTTATGTATATACAAAACTTTAACTTTTTATGAAATAAAAAGTTAAAAAAAAAAAGATAAAAAAAAAGATAAAAAAAAAGTGTAAATTTTTTTTTTCCAGTTTTTTTCCACTCCCATCCTGTAGCCTACTCGCGCCCCCCCGGGAGAGTGTCGGGGCCCCCCCGGGGGGGCGCGCCCCACCGGTTGAGAACCACTGATTTAGAGTATTCAGCTTTACTTTGCTTCTTGTTTTAGGGTTTAATTATTTTCTTGTTAGTTCCTGTCTTTCAGGTTTTCCATTTGTTGTCCTCTGCTGCCCTCTTGTGTCTTCTTTCCCTAGCTCTGTTTCCTGCTCTGTCCTCACCTGTTTTCAATCCTCTCGTTAGCCCTCTCTTTGTCTCTGTCCCCTTTAAAAGCCCTCCCTCTTCAGTTCCTGTTTGCTGGATCCTCGTCTAACGTCTGTCTGCGTACCTCATCTCTCCCTGGCTCCTAGAGTTTGGTTTTCCCCTGATGTCTCCCTGGTTCTGGTTCGTCTGTTATTTCTGTTGGATTTTTGATTCCTGCCTCAGTTCCTGTAAACCTCATTAAACCCACCTAAATTCACCTCTGCCTACTTGCCTCTGCATTTGGGTCCTCAATCCAACACCAAATCCTGACAACAGATAATGATAGCAATAAAGTTCAACTAGACAGATTAAACATCTAAGTTGTATCATTCATTCTTTCATCATCTTTCAGAGAGTTTTTTACTTGTTGAAGCAGAGGCTCTGATCTAGTATAGAAAATAAATATTCTTGTTATACAATAAATTTCTGGTGAACTATGGTTCGCTGACTCCTTGTATTCTCAGTGGGGATAATTTCAGGACTTGAAGCAGACAAGTTTACATCTCAGAGAATCCTATAATGAGGCTCCTTTGAATCTGAAAAATGTAACTTCATGTAATGGGTGCTTTTATTTTATTTTTACTGTTTAAGATTCTATCATTTGGATAAGTATATAACATTTTGTCAAAGCTGCAAATATCCTCCGGCTTTGAAGTTATCCCTGCACAGTAATGATGTAAAACACTGTCATCAGAGCAGGCTTTTGAACTGGGGATCCCTCTAGATAGCTTAAAGCACACAAGATGTCTAATACAAGTTAGAAATGTTAAAAGAGTTGACTAAATATCAGCTTTATAGTTTCCATCAGTCATTCTCTGATAATGTTTAATATATGGATTTTGACTGTATAAAGTTGTTATACAAGAAATTTAGTGGATGAAATAGAAACTTTTGGCACTGGACCAATATTGAGGCTTACACTCTGTGTCCCATTCTTTCCTCTTCTGTTTTTTTTTTTTTTTTTTAACTATTTTCTATATCCACTGAATTCTTGCAGGGTTTTCTGAGTATTCCTATTCATCTGAGGCTGTTATAGGGTGATGTGCAAGGTGCTTCGTGGACAGGTTACTGGTTCGCTACAGGCTACACAGACACACACAGGATTAATCAGCATGGGCGCATACATTCAGACATACTGTAGGGGAAGTTTTGAAATGGATAGGCAGTGCAGCATCGATGTTCAAAAAGGTCTCAGAAAGACGGATGAACTAATACATGTAAAGAGAGAATATGTGCAAACATGGTGCACATATTCTCAGAGGGTATTTGAAGGCAGTACATTTTTGTTTCAAACAAAAATGGAACCAATACTGGTATTGTATTACAGCCTAGTTAATAGCAATGATTACATTCACATAGATCTATCTATTCTATCTATTTGGATTCCCTTTTAGCATAAGTTACCTTTTTCCCCCAGCTTTAACTTTGCTTGTTGTATGCAGTCTTACCAAGAGTCAAAATCCTGGTCCAGTTCAGGGAGACCAACAGAAGTCGATGCTGTCAGACTACTACTGTTTCATGTTTCATAAGACCTTCAGTTATCCTTAATCACAACTCTTTTTTAGCTTTGACTCTTTTGTTCAGAGAGTTCCTTTGATTTTTCTGAGTCTACTGGTCATTTGAAATAGATCACTGGATGGCAAAATTGGTTATTGGTCAGTATGACAGTTTTAAATCTTAGATTTATCTCATCTATCTCAACTCCCTTTTAAACACAATCATCCCACTGACCTTTTACCATAAATATGAATGACCTCTATTATGCTCTGCAATGCTTTTTGAATATTTCGTCTTTTCCCCTGCAGGCAATTTAACCAAATTAAAAGTGAGCCAAAGTTAAGTTTGCTGAAGGGGTGAATCATTGTCTCTCTCTCAATGTACCACATCCTTTTCCTTTCCAGCAAGAAGGTGAACGTAAACAAAGATTTGGCCTTAAAGTTTAGACCTGCAGAGAAGGTGACCTTTATCTATTTTTCAGTGTTTGTGGATTTCAAACTGCTGAGAGAGACAGGAGGAGATTGACTGTCTCCCATTTTTTAAGCCTTGAAGCAACAACCTTTCTTTTCCTTTTATTGCTTTTCTTTTGATTCTAAACACTCTTCTGCTGGGGTTCATACGCTGGCCACTAACTCTGCATGTCTTTGGAAATGTTAGATGTTATCCTTGGTGTGTGTGAAAGTTGCAATACTCAGGGTGAATATAAAACAAGGTGAGGAGTGCTGGGAACTGGGTACCTAACTTGTCCTTCAAAACCGACCAAAAAACTTCCAATTCTCATTCCTCTGTTACTGTACTTCATTCATTTGGAGCAAAGAGCAACATCCCTGTTTCCATCCGTGTGTTCTCTGATTTCTTAGCATCCTTCTTGTCCCTCTGCATCGTCCTGGATCCCTTCAGTTTTTTTTCTTGCTCTGCTCTCTTACTTTCACCTCAGCAGACAGTGATTGTGTTCAGAGTGTGAACTGATGATAGACGAGGCACTCAAACTCTTCAGCACACAGTTCAAACAAGAACAACGATGCGGCGGCTCACCCATTTATTACCTCTGGGCAAGGGGACTGGCTCACCCTGAGGGCAGGTAGATGGTGTAATATGAGATTTTGAGTTATTTATAAAAACAGGTAGGTTTTCAGCACACATACAATTTGCTTACTGTAGCATGATTCTCCTAATTTTTTTTAGATTTCTGTAATCAATTACATTGTTGTGGCATGTTCAAATATACTTTTCTTGAATATACCGGTAATACAGCTACTAAATAAACCTTTTGATTTCCTCATCTGTAAATTTCTTATCAGTGAAAAGTAATATTTGTCTTTGTAATTGACCAGAATGACAAATGTCTTTTAAAAGTTCTGTGCAATATGTATCCACATATATTTAAACATGTTTAATCTGAATTTGGTCATTTTAAGACCACATACTTTTTAGCTTATTAATGCAGATCAATAGAAAATCGTGAACATATGTACATTTGACGGAAAGTCATATGTTTTGGAATATTTATTTACAAATAAATGCATAAAGGGTGGCCAATTTTTTGGTACAAATTTATTTGCAATATCCCTAAATAA